ATAATATTAATAATATTATTAATAAAAACAACAATAATAAAAATAATAATGACACAACAACAATGATAATATTACCAATAATAATAACAACCAATAAGTTATCATAAAAACTAACATTAACGAAAGTTAAAAAAATAATAATGGTTGTGATAACTATATATCTCTTACATGAAAGGTTAGTACTACTTTTATATCTAAACTAGTATCACATCCATACATTACTGCAATTAGTGTCGTTAAGTGCAACCATAATTCAACCTATTTCTTTGCAGCATTGTTAACTGCTTTCTTACCAGTGCAGTGCGTTATGCTTCAAACTATAGTAATTTTACTCTAGCTAATTAGTACAAGGAACACGTATTTTTTTGGGCTTCCTCTCACACATCTTTTTTTTTTTTTTTTAGCGTGTTACGCAAGAGGAAATTGTAATAATAGTGCTTGATTAATTGTGTTTGATCGTCGTTTGATTATGTCATTATCATAACCCTATTTAACATCGAGTTTGCTTTCATATGTCAGAGGGCATGTCATGCAAAGGTCAGAAGTCAAGGATTAAGAGAATCTAAATGTGTGGTTTCGTAATCCACGTCCAACCCATTCGTTTTTCTGCATGACGTTTTTGGTATGGCTTTCTGCATGACGTTTTTGGTATGAATTTCTGCATGACGTTTGTGGTATGGCTTTCATAGAGGTATCATAAAGGTATAACGAAATCATGTGTAATACGTTGCCCAAAACAAGACCTTATAACTTACCAATACGTCTACTTTTCCTTAAGATTACAACCATTTTGTAGTGATTTTCTGAACTCAAATCATACCGCATCGCGTAAAATCACACGTGGAACAAGTACGACCTTACGGCAACTACCATCGACCGAGGCATGAGCTGCATGCCTCACCAACAACATACCTATAGGGGGGACTCTGGCAGTAACGGTAGAGGGAGATGATGGTAAGGTGGGGCATTTGTAGTCTACATATAATGCTACCTCTCGGGGTATGAACATTGGTGTTACCCTAGAACAATCTGGAGTAGCGTTGTTCTGTTAGCTGCAAATTGGCTTGGGAATATCTAATGACTGACTACAGGTAAACAGAATACTGGTCAGGAGCACTTAAAGGACATACCGGCTTGGATCAGTTCATTTATAGGTTACATGTCATGACTGAGGCTGTGCACAGAACCCAGCTGAGCCATGTTTCGGGAGGGGTGTGCAGGTGGGCTTCACATACAACACGAGGGGGAAAACACACAGTAATTGGGGCATTGGGAAGGTCCGTGCCTCGGTCCTGCTTGTCTGGCACGTGCAGGTTTGGTTGCGGCCCTTACGACGGACACACTGCTGGGGACGCTGCAAGGCCGGGCATGGACATACAGACACGACCTGAGTCATATCGTAGGTCCTTGGAACATGCTGGAAGCTCCTGTGTTGGGACGTCTACCTGTAGGGGTCATAGGCTCCGAGTGACTCCCAGTTGGTGGAGATGATCCTGGGAATGACCGGCGAGACGGGCGTGGCGGGCGTGGGCGTGGAGGGCGACACGGGCGTGGAGAGGAGCGGGGTGCCGAGGGGCGACACGACGGCGTTGTCCCCCAGGCCCAGGGGCAGCGGCAGGTTGTGCATCCTCGGGGGCGCCACCACGACCCGAGGTTCCAGGTGGATGGGTGCCGAGATGAAGGGAGCCTCCTCGCCCTCGCGCCGAAGGGACCCGTGCCGACTCGTGTGCGGAGACGAGCGCGGGGATGCCCGGGGGGACGCCCTGGGTGAAGCCCGGGCCGACTTGCTTCTTCTGGTGCGAGTCCCTGGGGGGAGCTTGGGCGCGGGACCTTCCGGCATGGTGGGGTCACAGGAGGCCAGGCGTCATAAGGCATTGGCGAGCTCGTTCAACTCGATCCCGAGGGCGACCGCCGGCAGGGACAAGGACGGCCCCACCGGACATCCGCCAGCAGTCCCTTCCGA